AAAATTCACATAGGCGCAGAGTGAACCAACTCCAGGGTAAGTCTATAAGCAGCCAAATGTATTAACATCATAACCCCGTCTTTTTAGGCAAGAACCAGATATGGGGGTCATGTAGGCTAAAATAATGTTTAATGGGACTGAATTTGTAGGCGTGAATTGATCATTATATAACGTTTCCTTTCCACGGTTATTCAAAGAGTGAATAAATTATATACAGAAAGTGACTATCACTAACACTGATCTATCGCAAATTTAAGCACTCTCAAAAAAACAAAACTATGGTTATAATCACTGAAGCCGTGTACACTGTTAAATGAATCTGCGCTTTGTTGTTTATGATGAGAGAATTCGCAAGAGTCCAGAATTTAGTCAGTGAACGCGCGCGCACTCAAAACTGATGAGTTTGAATGATGACTGAACGCTCCTGATTGGCCATTGCATTCCTAAGCTCAACAGATATTTGTGTGATTGGTTAAAATGCGCAACACTGTAAAAACGTCTTAAATTAAATACGGTGCAACATGATCAGATCTTAATTTAATGCCGCAATCGACACTATTCATATTCACTTTGTTAGCAACAGACATAATAGATTTAATTTGTTTGTGCAGGGGCATGTTTGCCCCAAGTCCCCGTGGCCAGGGGAAGGCAGCCTTACACACGCTCCGCCTATGAAAATTCACATAAAACAATTAGAAATTTAAAAATGGCATTGAACTTTGAACAAATAATAAAACTGAATCAAAGACTTCAGACAGACAGAAAACCTCCAGCCTCATAAACTGGTAGGGAAAATATAAAATATAGGCTTGATTGGGCACTATAGTACATCTTAAGGTAAAACACCAGAATAAATTAAGAGAATAAGACAGGAAACAAGAAAAATAAATGATTTTGTGAGAATAATCATTTGTCTTAATCCTAGAAAACCAAAATAGACTTTAGACCCGTGATTAAACTGAAATAGGGAATAATGGAAATCATTCTGGTCACTCAGCTTTTTTTTATCTGACTTCAGCTCTGTGGTCTCCAAAGAAACATGTGAATCAAACCCAACATGCACATTTTTCTTTACAATCAAATATATGAACTGGCTCAAGGCCTTTTAAACCAGAGAAACCAAGAGCAAACTGAACAATAAGCTTCTCATGGATTTAAGATCAGGATTTCTAACCTGAAGACACGACTCTGCTTATGCACTTATGACTTTATTATTAAACAGAATATTGTCATGGTGAACAAAAGGTTTATGCTCAGCTCATTTTATTTTCTTCTAGCTCTTCATTTTTTTTTAATCAAAGAAAGCTACAAGATGCAGGCATGTTATTGCACTCCAATAAACTCATATAGTACATACTGTAACTTTAACCTGACGTTTTGAGACATTTACTCACTAGCACATTTTCTATTAATAACCAGTAACTGAAAAAACATCATCCTGCTTCCCTTTCACAGAACAATACACTCTGTGAGTTTAGGATATCCTAAGTCTTAAAGATCAAACGGACACACCTTTGTTTTCCTATCAAGTTGGAGACTTTCCATTCATTGATTTATACTGAGCTAATGATCAATTCTAAAACAAACTAAATTTACGTCTCTGATACTGCTAGAAGTGTGCTTGGTATCATGCATCTATATGGCAAGGAAGTCCTAGCTGCTAAATTGAGCTTGTGCAAGTGTTTTCACAGCCCAAAGTATCACCAGCACAAGCTGTCTTTGTGCTCGACTTAATGTACTTTAGCTCATCAATACAGCTTTTTCTCCTCCCTGCTGCTGGTTTAAGGACTGAACTCTGGGATCTGAGAGCAAGGAGTGGACAGAGAGAGAGAGAGGGAGAGGGGCTGATACGAATGAGAATGTGCTAAAAAGGGTGTCTGGGTATTTATAGCTCACAAGCACCTTTGTGTGTTTAGATGCCAGTCACTGTGCTTTAAAGTAAAGGTGTTAACAGTAAGAAGTTAACAGGGCAATACTGATTTGCTTCGAAGTTCTTTTTTTGATAATGTAAAGTACACTACCATTCAAAAGTTTTGAATCATTTTTAAAGGAATTTATACATTTAAATGAATAACATTTTTAATTCAAATAAATGCTATTATATATATATTTTTATTTTTATTTTCTATTCATCAAAGAATCATGGTCATGGTTTCCACAAAAATATCAATCAGGAAAACGGTTTTGAACATTGATAATAAGAAATGTTTCTTGACCAGCAAATCAGCATATTAGAAAGATCCCTGAAGGATCATGTGACACTAAAGGGTAATGATGCTGAAAATTCAGGTTTGCAACAGGAATAAATTACATTTTACTTCTACAAATAAAAACTATATATTAAACTATTTATTTACAGTGCATCCAGAAAGTATTCACAGCGCTTCACTTTTTCCACATTTTGTTATGTTACAGCCTTATTCCAAATTGGATTAAATTCATTATTTTCCTCAATTCTACAAACAATACCACATAATAACAACATGAACAAAGTTTGTTTGAAATCTTTGCAAATAAAAAAAAAAAAAATCAATCATCAATACTTTGTTGAAGCACCTTTGTCACCAATTACAGCCTCAAGTCTTTTTGCTACAAAAGGAGTATGATGCTACAAGCTTGGCACACCTATTTTTAGGCCGTTTCTCCCATTCTTCTTTGCAGGACCTCTCAAGCTCCATCAGGTTGGATGGGGAGCATCGGTGCACAGTCATTTTCAGATCTCTCCAATGAAGTTTGAAGTTCAATCGGGTTAAAGTCTGGGCTCTGGCTGGCCCACTCAAGGACATTCACAGTTGTCCCATAGCCACTCCTTTGTTATCTTGGCTGTGTGCTTAGGCTCGTTGTCCTGTTGGAAGACGAACCTTCGCCCCAGTCTGAGGTAGGTTTTGGAGCAGGTTTTCATCAAGGATGTCTCTGTACATTGCTGCATTCATCTTTCCCTCTATCCTGACTAGTCTCCCAGTTCCTGCTGCTGAAAAACATCCCCACAGCATGATGCTGCCACCACCATGCTTCACTGTAGGGAAGGTATTTGCCAGGTGATGAGCGCTGCCTGGTTTCCTCCAGACATGACTCTTGCCATTCAGGCCAAAGAGTTCAATCTTTGTTTCACCAGACCAGAGAATTTTGTTTCTAATGGTCTGAGAGTCCTTCAGGTGCCTTTTGGCAAACTCCAGGCGGGCTGTCATGTGCCTTTTACTGAGGAGTGGCTTGCATCAGGCCACTCTATCACACAGGCCTGATTGGTGGAGTGCTGCAGAGATGGTTGTTCTTCTGGAAGGTTCTCCTCCCTCCACAGAGAAACGCTGGAGCTCTGTCAGAGTGACCATCGGGTTCTTGGTCACCTCCCTGACTAAAGTCATCCTCCCCAGATCGCTCAGTTTGGCCGGGCGGCCCGCTCTAGGAAGAGTCCTGTGGTTCCAAACTTCTTCCATTTACGTATGATGGAGGCCACTGTGCTCATTGGGACCTTCAATACTGCAGAAATTTTTCTGTACCCTTCCCCAGATCTGTGCCTCGATACAATCCTGTCTCGGAGGTCTATAGACAATTCCTTGGACTTCATGGCTTGGTTTGTGCTCTGACATGCACTATTAACTGTGGGACATTTAGACAGGTCTGTACCTTTTCAAATCATGTCCAATCAACTGAATTTACCACACGTGGACTCCAATCAAGTTGTAGAAACATCAAGGATAATCAGTGGAACAGGATGTACCTGTGCTCAATTTTGAGTGTCAAGGCTGTGAATACTTATGTACGTGGTTTTTTATTTTGAATAAATTTGCAAAGATTCCAAACAAACTTCTTTCATGTTGTCATTATGGGGTACTGTTTGTAGATTTTGAGGAAAATAATGAATTTAATCCATTTTTGAATAAGGCTGTAACATAAAATATGGAAAAAGTGAATCACTGTAAATACTTTCCGGATACACTGTATAAATATTTTTTTTAAATAAAAAAATTATATATATATATATATATATATAACTTATTTGGTTCAGATGGTGTCAAGCGTGTGTGACGGCAACCAGGTGAGGAGTACAAAGACAAGTGTGTCTTGCCTACAGTCAAGCATGGTGGTGGGAGTGTCATGGTCTGGGGCTGCATGAGTGCTGCCGGCACTGGGGAGCTACAGTTCATTGAGGGAACCATGAATGCCAACATGTACTGTGACATACTGAAGCAGAGCATGATCCCCTCTCTTTGGAGACTGGGCCGCAGGGCAGTATTCCAACATGATAACGACCCCAAACACACCTCCAAGAGGAGCACTGCCTTGCTAAAGTATCTCC